AACCTATTCTAGGTCTCATATGGGAACAGATTGCGATTCTCTCCACAGGCTCGCCGGAGGATCGATCCGACGCAGCGGCGTCGCTGGTTTCGCTAGCGAAAGACAGCGAGAGATACGGGAAACGGATAATCGAAGAAGGCGGCGTTGGGGCGCTGCTGAAATTGCTCAAAGATGGTAGAGTAGATGGTCAAGAAAACGCCGCGAACGCTATCGGGCTTCTGGGTCGTGATCCTGAGAATGTTGAAGCCATGATTCAGGCTGGTGTCTGCCAGGTGTTTGCGAAAATTCTCAAAGAAGGTCCGATGAAAGTTCAGGCCGTAGTCGCTTGGGCTGTTTCGGAACTCGTCTCTAGTTACCCAAAATGCCAAGATCTTTTCGAACAGCACTACATAATCCGCTCCCTTGTTAGCCATCTTGCTTTTGAAACTGTTCAAGAACATAGTAAGTATAATATCACTGCCAATAAAGCCACCTCGATTCATGCTTTGGTAATGGCGAGTAACCCCAAAACGAACGATGTGTACAAAGCTGTTGATGAGGATGACCGACAGCTCCATAGTCGCATTCTTCATCCCATGGGAAATCGAACTCCAAATCAGATGCACGCTGTGGTTACCAACACTATGAACATGCTTTCTGGTGGGTCGGTGGCGGCTGCAACTTCAACTCCACAGGCTACTCATGGAGAAAGCCACAACGTTAGCAGCAATGGGAAGCATATCCTTCCTCATCATTCCCCTTACCTTCATCATGCTCATTCCGGGCCTAGCACGAAGGGGAGGGAACTCGAGGACCCGGCGACGAAAACCAAGATGAAAGCCATGGCGGCAAGAGCCCTGTGGCAGCTTGCTAGAGGGAACCTGACAATCTGCCGTAGCATTACAGAATCAAGAGCTTTGTTGTGTTTTGCTGTTCTTTTGGAGAAGGGGGAGCAAAATGTGCGGCATAACTCTGCAATGGCACTGATGGAGATCACTGCCATGGCGGAGCACGATCCTGAATTGAGAAGGTCCGCCTTCAAGCCGACATCTCCCGCCTGCAGGGCGGTTGTGGATCAGTTGGTGAAGATCATTGAAAAAGAAGATGCAGACCTTCTCATCCCGTGTATCAAATCCATCGGACATTTGGCAAGGACATTCCGAGCTACTGAGAAAAGAATGATCAGCCCATTGGTGCAGCTTCTCGATGAAAGAGAGGCCGAGGTCTCGAAGGAGGCTTGCGTTGCTCTCACCAAATTTGCCTGCACAAAAAACTTCCTCCACAACAACCACTGCGAGGAAATTATAGCGGTAGGAGGGGCAAAACACTTAGTCCAGCTAGTGTACTTCGGGGAACATAGTGTTCAAATTGCAGCTGTAACTCTGTTGTGCTACATTGCCCTGCATTTGCCAGATAGAGAGGAGCTTGCACGGGCCGAGGCGCTTCCCGTGATCGAATGGGCGTCAAAACAATCTCATTTGACGCAGCACGAATCACTCGAACCACTCTTACACGAAGCCGGAGGAAAGCTAGAGCTGTTTCAATCCAGAGGGCCAAGAGGATACCACTGATTCCAATCAAAATACAGGCACGATTCTGATCTCTTTGACAAAGTTGAAAATTTTCCATTTCTATCTTCATTTCTTCTTTTTTACCCATCATTTTCGTTCGAGTGTACGTATAAATTCATTTTTCTTCCACAATTGTTCAAAATGTAATGTAATAATTTAGTGAAAGTTGGCATGCTTGCTTCTGTGTATCCTTCATTTGCCCTGTCATGGAGGCAAAGTTTACAGGTTCCTCCATGGTTGATTTCAAATGATCATACCTTTTTTTTTGGGTCGTCTCTTTTTCTTGGTTTTATTTTTTTGGTATAGAATTAGACTGCATCATTGGAACAGCTTGGCAAAAGGAGAAAGATGTCACAACATCAAAAGGTTGGATAGAAAATGACTTTATCAAAGCTCATCTTAAAGTGAAAAGATTCCTTTCCATTTTTAAAACTTATAAGAACCGTTCAAATTTGAACAGTAACATGAACACTTCCAAATTCTTTACTTTGATTTGGTCGTCGAAAATCCCCTAGCTGTTGTTCATTTGTTGTGTTGCCTGCTTACTCGTTTAGCCTCAATTTAGTTCTTATAATTATAAGACTTCTAATTTACCTCCATAGTTCTCAAAATTTCGATTTAGTCCTTTACAAAATATTAACAAGTCGTTGTCACGTGAATTGAATAACAAATTATAAGAACAGGTTTTTCGAACTAACTATGATTTAACTAAGCATTAATAACATAAATCAAATTGAAACTTTTAACAAATTAAGAAACTATCTTTAGATTTCAAATTATCACAAGAAGGGAAAATATATTCCCAAATTTCTTTCGGCCAAGGTAATCATTTCAACAAAGGCTCACCACCATCAAATTCATAATCTAATCACTTGCTATTTTGTACTCTAGATGGGAATTTCATGTAATTATTAGTTGTTACTTGCCAATTATTACACCTATTTTTTTTCACGTTTTTCAATTGTTTAAATAGAAAGTAACAATCCAATAAATAAATTTTAATTTGTTTATGCTTCTACTTTTTAAAAGTAGGAAGAAAAAGTCGTTTTAAGCCAAGTCAAGTCAGTTTTACCGATTCCAATTTGGCCACCTTTACAAACCATACCATTGGATGATTATATTATCGTAGAGCCTACGAAAAATATAAAATTTAAATATTGTGGACATTTTGAGCTCAAAAAATGTATAGAAACCCCACCCAACAAAGACAAATAAACACAAGTCATGTGGGATGATTTGATGCCAAAAGTGGCTTAAGACACTATAGTCCCTAGACATTTCACTGTGGTATTGTGTATTGTATTGTCACAATGTACTTTGGGTTCTTGAAAGGGCATTTTAGGAGATTTTCATCCATGAAATCGTGCGACCCTCCAATAATAATACACATTCTTTTTGTGTCGTGAGGGAGATGAAGATCGAGATTATTCGATCAATATCCTAAAAATAACTAATTTTCAAAGTATTGATGTGCGAATTCAAGATAAGTATGAAAGGAAAATCATTAAGACCCTATCGTCTCTTCTTCACTCTACTTTTCTTTAATTATACTTTGGTTCATTAAGATTTTCATGATCCTAGGCCAGAAAAGAAAGAAGATATTTCAATCAATCAAAACTGTGGATCATGAATCTAAAGAACTTATCAATTTTGCACATACAAAAGTAGACAAAGTACAAAAATAGATTGAAGTATACTTGTAAGATCATGAGTTTGATGTCTACGAAAAGCATTTATCAACAAAGAGGGAAAAAAAAACTCTTAAAAGAATGAAGGAATGAGAGTGTCGTGAATATTTTTTAATGTCAACTCGAAATCTTTTGATCACATCTTAATAGTCAATTCAATATAAAAATGTCATCCATCGCATTATTAGATTTTCGAGGGTGCACCATCTTATGATGAACCCTCGTGCTCCCCGTAGGTAGCCCTCCCATCACAATATAACAATAACAATTATTTTTCTTTCACCAAAAAGATAGAGATTTTTGGGAACAAAATATGTATATCCGAAAGCAAGAAGAAGGGAATCCTATGAAATTATTTTCCTTACTTTCGCCCCAATTAATTCAGATTTATCATTAAAGTTAAAGTCTCTTTATTTTGCTTTATAGAGTTGGTACAATCCACCCGACAAAGAAAGAAGACGATGCAGGGTAAAAGCGAGTTTGAAAATTTAACTATTAGTAAATGGAAAGACTTTTTTTAGTTCTCCAAATAGGAAGTTTGGCCACTTTCTTTTCCACTCCCTTAGAGAGAAGACAAAAAAAAAAAAAAAAGGCTATCAGTTGAGGAAATTTGTTGTCCTTTGAGATCGGTACAGAGATATATTCCAAAAAAGGGGTTAAAATATATATATATTCGACTTTCATTTTTAAAAATTTAGAGGGAGAAAAACTACCGAATTTGTATTTCTTGAGTTGCGACAAACTAAGGTAGGAGTATTTGGTCCCCTCCTTTGTTCTTTGCTCCGTCCTTCTTCTTCGAGAGGTAAGTCATCAATTATGAGAATCAATATTGTTCTAGTATGAAAATTGTATGTGTTGGGATAAAAAAAAAAGTGGAGCCAAAACTAAATGGGCCATAAAACCTCATAAGCCCAAAAACATATCCTTATGTTCACCGTGGGATCATTTTTGGTGCTGTTGTTGACATCAAAAGTAAAAAGGTGGCGGCAGTGTTTTCGTCGACCATTTTTGTGGCATCTAGAGAGAACTTTGTAGAGCGTTTGTGAGACGCATTGTATTTATCATAATATCATAATAGAATCCGCTGTCGCGGAAGATTGGATGTAAGCCCATAGTTGGGATGAATCAGTATAAATTTCTTATATCATTTTTATACTTTCCCTATTTAATTTTCTTGTGTGAGACTTAGTTTTCACAACTGTGGAAGGGGAAAATATTAAAGGTAAATAAATTTTTCCAACAGTATATCTTGAGATGTGTTTGGATTGTGCGCTGAGGTGAACTTGTGCGTGCAAAAGAGAGAAAACAAGGTGTAAGTCAAATAGTCAAAATGTTTTCAAGATAAATTATCAATCACACATATTGTATCCGAACATGTGATTGTGTGAGTGATTCTCCTATTTATACCATTAGTAAGTAAGGTCCACTAGGAGGTTACCATACATCGTAATGGGCATTACCGTGTAGATTTCGCTCTAGTGGGATGACTGACATGAATTTACTTTAGAGCACATTGAACTAAACTTAGTCATTACCAAAGTTACACTAAGATTTGAGGTCTATTACCTCATCTTCTTTCCTTTGATCTTTCTCCCCCTAACAAATATGAAGGAAAATGATGAATTGAAATATAAAATGGATCCAAAAACAATAATAAAGCAAGAGGGTAAAATAAAAAGAGAAAGGCAAGTAAAAAAGAGGTGTGTTTATTTGCTGAATAATGGTAGAGTTGCCATGACTGATGAGGTGCAATGCGGTGGGAACATCTGCCGGATTTTATGAGCCAACCCAATGGCGATGGATCGGCGGAGAAGGTAGACCGGGGACGAGGCGGGACCCAGACACTCTTACACAAAATATTTCAAAAAGTTATATCACCCCGCCCCCATATTTACCCCTGTTAAAAAATTATTTGGCCGTCAAAATGAACCTAGTTTAATAGATTAAAAGAGAGACACAAAAAAGGATTTGGAGGTTCAAATTTCTACCTTTACATGTTGTTGAATTAAAAGAAAGGAAAATAGAAATAAATAGTGAGAGGTTCCGTGTAGGCGTGGAATGTGCGAATTGACTTGGGTCAATGAGAATGAGTCTTTAGAGACAGCGGGTTGTGGAAAATTAAATCCTTCATGATATATCGCAATCACACCAAAATTTCCAAGGCATCAAAGTTAGTGGAAAATTCTGCAAAACCCATCTTATAAATAGGGCCATTTTTCTTCTCATATTCTCCATCAACTCAATCTTCTCTTTCTATAGGATCTCATTTCTACATATTACAAGAATGAAGTTTTATGCATTATTGATCTTCTTCTCTTTTGGTTTGTGGTTGGGAGCCTTTGCAGAGAGCAATGTGGGCGGCAGGCCGGCCGCGCTGTTTGCCCAAACGGGCTGTGCTGCAGCACGCACAGGTGGTGCGGCACCACCGAACCCTATTGCGGAGCCGGTTGCCAGAGCCAGTGTCGTCGTTCGGGGCCAAATCCGAATCTCCCTCCTAGTGGCGGAGGTGGTGTCGGTGGGATCATCACCTCGGCTATCTTCGATCAAATGCTTAAGTATCGCAATGACCCGCGATGTCGTGGTAATGGGTTCTATAGTTACAACGCTTTTATTACTGCTGCTCGATCCTTTTCTGGCTTTGGTACAACTGGAGATGATGTCACTCGAAGAAGGGAGCTGGCGGCTTTCTTAGCCCAAACTTCCCACGAGACTACAGGTTAGTTTTCTAGTAAAATCTCCGATTATTGATTATGATGTATTGGCTTGACCCTGTGGCCAACTGGATTTGAAAATGATGAGGTTGTGGTGTAGGAGGATGGCCAACCGCACCCCATGGTCCATATGCATGGGGATATTGTTTCGTAAGGGAACTCAATCAAGATATCTATTGCAGACCTGATGCCCAATGGCCTTGTGCTCTTGGTCAAAGATATTATGGTCGTGGACCCATACGACCCATACAACTGACTTAGTAATTAATTTCATCTCTATCTCTTTCGTCAACTTTATTGTTGACAATAAATAAAAAATTTCTTTTGATTAATAGCTACAATTAGATTATATTTAATTATTAACCATTGACATCTTTTATTAAGTTAGCAACTACAACTACGGGCTAGCTGGTAGTTCATTAAGATTGAATTTGTTGAACAATCCAGATTTGGTAGCAACAGGTCCAATCATATCGTTCAGAACAGCTATTTGGTTTTGGATGACACCACAGGGAAACAAGCCATCAAGTCATGATGTGATCATTGGTAAATGGCAGCCATCAAATGTCGATAGATCTGCTGGAAGAATCCCCGGCTATGGTGTCATAACTAACATCATCAACGGTGGACTTAGAATGTGGAAAAGGTCACAATGACAAAGTGACCAGTAGAATCGGTTTTTACCGAAGGTACTGTGACATGCTGGGTATTTCCTATGGAAACAACTTAGACTGCAACAATCAAAGACCTTTCGGGTAGTAAAATTATCACCACATAATCATATCAAAATATAATAAAAACATAGATATTTCTATCTCCAACTTATGAGAGATAGACTTATGATATGGGTAGAATAATACTCGAGTTGACTCGTCAACAATTATCTTTTGCTTACCACAATTAAAGTTTGATAAGTATATTTAAAATAAATAAAAAAAAATATTTGTCAAACTTTTAATAGTGGTCAAGACAGGTCGTGAGAACCAAGTATTTTAGGTTTGCGTTATTTTTCTTACCTATGTGATGTAACTTGTTGTAATAAAGAGGACAACATAATATATGTTAATAATGTTTGTCTCATGTTTTAATGAAATCATCCAGTTGACCAACGGTAATTGACATATACCTCCAACCGTTTACGATCCATTTCTCAAAATAAATTAAATGATTTCGTAAATATATAATATCTTTTAAATCTTAAATGATTTATTCGAAAAAATCTTTGAAATTATATCTATAAATTTGCTGCTAAATAGTACTAAAATAATTCGCTGCTAAATAATTACAACAAGGGCCAAAATTTCATATTCCATTATTTATTTAAATAAAATTATATAAAAAAATAAAGTGTTGATAAATTAAAAACGTACAATAATTTTGTTTTTATTTTTTTTAATTAAACCATTTATATTTTTTTTTCCTTCGTCAGTTTTCGCTTTTTGAAATAAACCTACTTTTAAAACCGTAAAATAACAAAATAAGAAAAAAGAGAAAAAAAAAGATTTTCTAGTATTCATTTTTTTTTGTTAGGAATTAAACACTGCTTTTGAACATACAAAGAAAATTATTTGTAAAAATGCATAATTTTCAAAAAAAAGAACCCAACAAAAACATGTTTAAACGCCGTTTTTAATCTTTAAAACTTGTTTGATATGATCTTTTTAAAAATAGTTTTCAAAACAAAAATAAAAACAATATTTCACTAATTTCATATCTTTTCTTTCATTTTCTTTTTTCCTGAGTATAGTTTGATTTGATTTGATTTAAATACATTTTTCTTTTAAATTAATATGAAAAGACAATAAATAAAACAACGACTACTAATTGAGCGGTAAAAAAAAACTTTGATATCAACTGCTAGGTTTTCTACTGGCCAAAAAGAAAAATACAGGTACATTTTTTAGGGAAAAAAATAAATATTTGTTAAAAAAAAATTAGTGGTATTCAATAATTAGGAAAGTATTGTTTATAAATAAAAAAAAATAAACCCTTTTCAAATGAATTTTAATATTTAAAATAATAGGAATTCTTTGAAAAGTTAATCAAGGGAACCATTGTCAATAAATAGGGACCATAACTACCCCTTTGCAAAAGTATGGAGACCGAAACAAAAATTTTAAAAGTACATGGATTCAAATGAACTAAACTTCAAAATACATAGACTAAAATGAAGTAAAATTTTAAAAGGACTCGGACCAAAATAATATTTTAACCATTGAATATATTCTTGTTTATTAAATCATTTCTAGACTGTACTCTAAACTTGAGATGGGATCTCTAGACTCTACTCTAAACTTGAGATGGGATAATATATTTTCTAAAATGAAAAATCTTCTCTTCCATATAATAAGTTCAAAAAATCAAATTTTAACCTTTAATTTTTTACCCTAAACTTGAATAACTTATCAAATTTATATAATACCCATCCCAAAAGCAAATTAAAATTATCTATAAATCAACCACAAAAATATTCAAACTTAACCCCAAAATAAATTAGGGTAAAAGAACAAATAAGTTCAACAACGTATAATATTAATTAATTAACTAATGTTGTCATATATATATAGTATAATATACTAATATAGTTTTAAATGATTTATTCAATTGTGTGATACCAAGTTTTAAAGATTTGAGGACGAAACTGAAATTAATTATGTTAACAACTAAAATTATTATTTAACTATTGAATCTAATCTTATCGAATTAAATAATCCCTAACCTAATTGAATAAAAAAATGATTAAAATCTCATGAATTTACATTTAGAAGTAGTGGAATCAATGAATAGAGTCATAGTGTATTCATTTGGTCCACCAAAGCAACAACATCTGCCACTTTAAAGTGGATTAAACACCCATAATTAGTTTCAAGCAAATTAAAGAAGAAAATCATAATAATATTCTACTAATATATTGACATATGAAATCTTTTAGTTAAAGTTGATCAATATTTAATTGACCATGTGATAGGTAAGGAAGGAAAAAATTTAATTTAAAATTTGACAATGCATCTTTTAGAAAAATATATTTTTATTCTCCCGAGCTTATTGGGAATTTGGGATGGATAATATTATTTATTTAAGATTTAAATATTTTTTAGTAAACTTGTATGGCTATCCCTTTTTGATGCCTAAATTTTTAAGTATCATATTACCTAAACTTTCTACAATACTACTAAATTAAAATTAAAAAAAAACTATTTTAATTATAGTTATCGATATTTTATAAATTAGTTTACTGTAATTCAACATCGTCTTTTGTTTATTTACTTCATATCAGACAAATATTCAATATTTAAGATCTCAAGTAATATATGATTTCATAATATTTTAATATAAAAAAATAGTGGTAAGAACTGAAGTAGTATCTTTATAGTCAATTTCAACCTAACTCAACTTTAACTAAAGATATATCCCAATTAAAAGATCGTTGATTTAAATCTTAATTCCTTATTGTGTATTTGAAAAATAAAAAATTTAGTACAAAGTCTATTAGTTGTCATAATTGGACCACATTTTGTGCGGGGTGCTTTTACATCTATCAAGCAAGCATAGCTTTGAACTGATCCTTTCTTTTTCATTACTATTAAGAATATAAGATTATTTATTAAGCACGATGATGGTTAAGGTATTTTCTTCGGAGGTGTGAGTTGAATCCTTCATCTACCTGTACTAAAAAATATATTTATTGAGTGAAATAATGTTTATTAAATTTCTTGATTTTTGTAACTTTTATTAGATCTCCACGTTATCTAGATAAAATGTAACACCATAAAATTCTACCTCTGCAAATAATTAGTCACATGGACGAAATGTTGGATAATTTTTCTTTTTGAATGGATAATGACGATAATTAAAGTCTTAAAATTTTAAATTTTAAGGACCAAATTAAAAATTAAAGTTAGAGCACTAAAATTATTATTTAACCGTTGAATCTAATGTTGTCGATTAAATCATCTCTAACCTAACCTAATGAATACTAATTAAAATCTCATGACTTTTCCATTTAGAACTAGTTGAAATTCTGAATGGGTGTGCATCCATTTTGCCGGCCAAAGCAATTTGCTAGTGGATTAAACACTCATCGTCCATTTCAATTAAAATAAATAAAATTTTTTCCTTAAGTGAGATTAAAGAAGCAACAAGTCAAACTATTCGAGTCAAGTCTATCGGGTTGAATACTCGACATTTCTATTAAAACATGTCATTATTTAGAAGAAAATAAGAAATCTATATATATATAATAATATTTTTTTCTTTTCTTGAAGTCAAGTAAAAATAAAGATATATACTTTAATTAATTGAACTACGATCAACTTAACAAATATAACAATATTTCTAGTTCTTCTACTACGTTGACCTTTCGCTAAAATTGATTAGTATAAAATAGACCCTGTGATAGGTAAGGAAGGAAAGAATAAGTTAAAAGCTTTTAGAATATATATATATATATTTTTGATCTATTTTGATCTATCATTTTAAATATTATATTTGTAGTCCATAAAATATTTTATAAAGAACTATTTTAATTCTTCTAATTAATCTTTTATAAGTTTAGTTAATGGACCTTAACAACAATAGCCTTTTATTTTTGTTTACTTGATTATTCGATATCTATCGATGACAAAAATTTAAAGTCATATGTAAACATTGTAAAATGAGAAATTCAAAACATGTTCTAATTTAAAAATCAATATAAGAATTAAAATAGTATTCATCCTAAAATAAAGTAAAATAAGAATAAAGAATTTACAAGAACATGGTGTATTTATTAGCTATGTCATAAGTGGACCCCATTTTTTAATGGTGTTCCTCTTTTTTTCATTATTTATTATTATTATTATTTTTTTTTTTTGCGCCATTAGAGTGGATTCTGATATTTCTTCTATAAATAGGGNAGGAGTCTCCTTCTTCCCAATATATTATCATATTTACATTATTGAAAGTGATTAGAGGAATATAATGAAGCTTTATACATTCATCTTCTTGTTTTTTGCTTTGTTATTGAGAGTGTTTGCAGGTCTAGTTCATGCGTCTAGTCACAAAGACGACGTTGGTAAACTCGTCAATGCCACTATTTTCGATGAAATGTTCGAGCGTCGCAAAGATCCACAATGTTCGAGTGAAAATTTCTATACCTACAATGCTTTTTTGGCTGCTGCTCATTCATTTGGTAGGTTCGGATTTGGTACAACTGGAAGCGTTAATACTCGAAAAAGGGAGCTGGCAGCTTTCTTGGCCCAAACTTCTCACCAAACCACCGGTTAGTTTTCACATAGAGTACCTATAAAAATATGGCTTTATATTATAAGAGGGCTAGTTTTGAGAATGGTAAGTGGTGCAGGAGGATGGCTAACTGCACCCGGTGGTATACTCGCGTGGGGATATTGTCACATAAAGGAAACCACCCAAGATTCCTACTGCAAGCCTGATCCAAAATGGCCTTGTGTTCGTGGCCAAAAATATTACGGTCGCGGACCCATGCAACTAAAATAGTAATTAACCACTCTCTTTGATATTTGTTTTCTTTTTTAATATAAATGAAGGTAGGGATTCGAACTCATAATTTCTTGGTCATAGACGGTTGTCAATTACCTTTGAACTAAGCTCATGTGGACTGATCTTCTCCTTATTTAGAACAATTGAGATTATATTTTGGCTTACAAACTGCGAGCTTATGAATAGTTGTACATCAATTATACTAAATATTAATATCTTTCTCACAAATCAGCAACTCCAACTACGGGCAGGCCGGTAAAGCATTAGGATTGGATCTATTGAAGAATCCAGATTTGGTAGCCACAGATGCAATTCTATCCTTCAAGACGGCCATTTGGTTTTGGATGACACCGCAAGGAATCAAACCATCGTGCCATGATGTTATCATCGGCAAATGGAAACCCTCCGATGCTGACAAAGCTGCTAAAAGAGTCCCCGGCTACGGTGTCATCACCAACATCATCAACGGTGGAGAGGAATGTGGGCATGGTGCTGATACAGAAGTTGCTGATAGGTTTGGATTTTATGAAAAGTACTGCAAGATGTTGGGTGTCAATCCTGGAAAACACTTGGCATGCTATTTTCAAGACCCATTTGTCCGCGACTAGGTATCACCAAATAATCATAATCAGATGTAATAAAAGCACATTTCCATGGCTCTTACTAAGATAAAAGTGAGCAAGAGTAAGAGAAATTTGAATGTACCTTGAATAAGAAGTTTTGTCATAGCTGGGTAACTTTGAATATGGTACATTTTGCTGTCGTACTCTCAACACTAAATATATGTGCATGGGTTTGAGTCGGAAGAATTATAATTGAACTGTACAAGAGATAGTTTAGAATCACTTTTTTCCAAAGTAGTTCAAGAAAGGCTCCCCATAGCCTTAGCTCTATCCCTCAGTATAAACTTCTGTATCTTTCCAGTTGATGTCTTGGGCAAATCTTGAAAAATTATGGACCGCGGAGCCATGTAATGCGGCAAATGATCTCGACAGTAATCGATAAGCTGTTGGGCAGTGATATTACATCCCTCCTTCAATGTAACGAATGCACAAGGTGTTTCTCCCCAGTGATTATCAGGGCGACCTACAACTGCAGCCTCCAGAACTGCTGGATGACCAAACAGAATGGTTTCGACCTCGACCGTGCTTATATTCTCACCGCCCGAGATGACTATGTCCTTCAGACGGTCCTTTACTTCGATATAGTGATCAGGGTGTTTTACTGCAGCATCCCCACTGTGAAACCACCCTCCCCTGAAAGCTTCCTCTGTTGCTTTTTGGTTCTTGAAGTATCCACTCATCACAGTGTTCCCTCTGAACATTATTTCTCCCATTGTTTTGCCATCAGCTGGTACGCCAGCCATTGTCACGGGATCTCTTACGTCGACCTCCTGCAGTCCAACATGATGGACGCCTTGACGTGCTCGGATCCTTGCTCTTTCATCAGAAGGTAGAGAATCCCACATTGGCTTCCATGTGCAATATGTCCCCGGACCATATGTCTCAGTTAGACCATACAAGTGACAGATTCGGAATCCCATCTCCTCCATCTTAGCAAGTATCTGCGGTGGAGGTGGCGCACCACCAGTCAAGACATCCACCTTGTTCGGAAGCAGCCTGCGGTCGCTCACGGGAGAATTCACAATCATGTTCAAAACAGTCGGTGCAGCTGCCATGTGAGTCACATTCTGCAGAGCTATTTTCTCAAATATTGCCTTGGGTGAGACTTTTCTGAGGCAGATATTGGTACCACCTTGAGCGGCAACTCCCCAAGCAAGGCACCATCCATTGCAATGAAACATGGGGCAAGTCCAAAGGTAAACCGGCATCGATCCCATTCCGCCAAGAAGAACCGTCGCCAAGGAATTTAGATAGGCACCTCTATGACTATAAACAACCCCTTTAGGCATAGATGTAGTGCCTGAAGTGTAGTTTATACTAATCGGATCCCATTCGCTTTTCGGTTTTTGGACCTCAAACTCACAACTCCCAGATGCAATCAGACTCTCGTATTCACAAACATTCGAAGACAATGGATTAGCTGGAGATAAACCATGTTCAGCATCAAGAATTAGAACTAGCTTAGGTGATTCTGAATCTCCTTGTGCAAGAAGCTGAATTGCCTCACAAGCAACTTCAAACAACTGAAAATCTACAAAAATGATCTTGGCTTCCGAATGCCTCAGCAGCGCCGAAACCATAGATGAATCATGGCGCGCATTCAATGTGCAAAGAACAGCACCAGCCATGGGAACAGCAAAATGCAGCTCATACATGGCTGGGACATTAGGAGCCAAAGTTGCAACCTGTTCAACACAACTTTCAAATCAAAATCCCAAACAGGCCACTAAAAGAAAAATGGCAACCAAAACTTTAAAGATTTAAACCCAAAATTCGCCTGATTCCATCCCTAGATGTATGTGGCAACAAAATGTGATGCAGCGGGTTTTCGAAAGATGGAAATGAATCCACGAACATTGGGAAATCCATCACAAAAACGAGAGAAAATGCTCATATTTCCATTCCATCAAAAGTCCAAAAGTCCCACTACAATCTAAATCTGGCTATTTATAGCCTTACCGAAGTCTAATAAATCATTTTCATTAATTCCAATTAGTTTAAGGCTTTCGTGACATCCTGCGTATATTACTTATATGATCCTAAAATAATACATAGTTAGTTTGAGTGTCATGTAAGTTTACACAAATTAAAGACATGGATCAATTAGATGCAAACTAGAAATGCAAAGAAATTTTTTGAAGTATGGAGACTAACCAAGCATAACCTTGACGATTCAGGACCCATTAGAAATTTTGGAAACCAGAGTACTAGATAGACACTGATCTAACAACTTGTTCAAAATATGGATGAAATTTTGATTTCAACTTCAAGCTATTCATCTCAGCGCATTCCTCAACAATCGACCAGCAAGCATATTGAATCAGAATATTATAATCAAATCAAAATCAGGAAACAAATGAAAATGAATGCAACTTAATCACAACATCAGTAATGGAAAAACGGGAAAACCTCACCACTTGGCCAGGGGAAATCCCAAGCTGGGAAATCGCAGAAGCCAATTTGAGACAGCGATTATAGGTTTCTTCCCAAGTAAACGATACAGAACCGTACACAACCGAGGTCGTGTCTCTGTAAACTTTGGCCGTTCGCTCCAAAAAGCTCAGCGGAGACAGAGGAACGTCGTTCGCCGGACATCGGACCAGACCGGCCATCGATTTCCACGAGTCCGGCACATTGGCGAAACCACGACGGCTTGAAGGGAAATCCAAGTTCCAGTTCCGGTTCCAAAGCGGTCTATTGAAGCTACAGACTGAACGGAGCAACTGATTTTGGAGAAAACGGTTCATTGGTTTGGCGATTTCAAGAACACTGCAAAAACCATAACCACCCTTTTTCGTCCTGTTCGATCCTGGTGAAGTTTTCCACTGGGATTTACAGAATCTCCATTGATGAGCAAACTGCCATTTCCAGAATTGGGATGGCGGTAGAGAGAAGGCGCATCACGTATGGGCATTTTAAAATCAAAAAAAGATTTTGGGGGGATAAGGCAAAATCTGTTTGGATAAAATCCTTTCCTCTTCTGTAGTCAGGACCTTTTTCACCTCTGTATGTACCTTAACCAATTTGATATTATTGCGCTAATAATTAGGCTAACATAAATTTGAAAACAAATAGAAATGAAACTAAAGTTGTATTATTTGTTTTCCGACACTGTTTTGTAGCAGTTTTGGTAATTGAATCTCAATTTAAAAAATTATATTTAGTAATGTATTTGTAAACTAAAATATTTAGTTTAATCTAGACTTATATTAATTAATTTATTAACAATTTTTTTATAAATTTTATATAATTATTATTATTAACGAGTCTTAACTTTTTAATCACTCAACTTTGTAAAAATTCTCATTCTCATTTCTATTGATTGAAATTTTTTTTCATTACGATTCCTTATAAGTAAATGGGTTCATCAAACTTTTGATAAAAGGAAAATGTATTAGAGTATCTAATAAGGTTTGAATCAGTATTAAAGTATTGATAAAAAGAAATTTATTAGAACTTAATTGTTCTAATTTTTGAATTCAATAGTAGTTTAGCGTGGTTTCAAAATAATGATTAATTTAACGATCATCTCTCTCCCATGTTCGTAATACCATACCATTTCCAAGAAAGGGAGAATATATATTTGATATAGAGAGTTAAAATGTTTTTTATTTGGTCGTAGAAATATCAATAAAATATATAAAATGTTAACAAGTTTTCTCTCAAATACTAAATCATTAATTTCTTTAAGTTCAACGGTTACGTCCTATCTTGAAAGCGTGACAAATTTAAACACTTAATTATTATTATATAATTTTTTTTAATGACCTCCTGTTTTTGTTTTTATTTTCTCTTTGAAATTATATACAAACATCCTTTTTTTTTCCTACTTTAAAAGAAAATCCTTTTTTTTTTTCTTGTTTGGTAAAATTGACTATTGACATTTTCATGGTTAATGAGTATTTAAGTAACTGGAATTGACAGATGAGTTGAAATTGTAGAATGGCTCCAACCATATGAGGACATAAAAGATGAGCAAAATTGCATTTTCATTTGTGATTGAAAAATTTTATAATCGCAGAGAAGACCTTCATTCTACTAATATTTGTCAAGGAAGATTTTTGTTTATCATAATTAATTAAGAAGATAAGCTCGAATAAATTTATGTGAAAAGAGAAATGAAAACTAAAATTACGAAGACTTATATCCAAATTGTTGTTCGGTTCGATGGTTTTGTTTCATACCATATTAAATATACAAGCGTTAAATATCAGTGTTTACTACTACGAGTTACCTTGTCAACCAAATGTATTAGGGTCAGGCGGTTGACCCGTGATTAGTCGAGGTGCGTGCAAGCTGATCCGGACACACGGATTTCAGAAAAAAAAAAATCAGTGTTTACTATATGATAGGCAAGATAATTAATGGTTTTGTATTAGATGATGAGTTAAAATTAGTATTATTGAAAATTTTGAATAACTAAATTTAATTAGTAAAAATTGTATAAGTACGAGTTGTTTAGAATATTAATAAATGTAAATTGTAAATGTATTGATTAAAATTTATTAAATCTAAACCATATACTGAGGTTGATAATTAATAAAAGTTAATATGATTTAATATATAGATAGGCTAATTAATGAATCAATTAATTAAAAGAAAAACAATAAATAGTATTTAGATTAATCATTTTTTAAAAAAAAATTATTTTTTTTCTTAATTCTAAGAATTCAAACCTCTAATTTTATTATTAATAATATATGTCTTAGTCAGTGGAACTTAAATCGGTATTTGAATTTATGAAATCGGATGAAGTGACCTATAAGTTGATAGTTATATAAATATATTTGGATTCTATTATTGAATTTAGGTATATAAAAAAATTTAAAAATTACATAAACATCCTGACGTGGATTCTTTGATAAGATTTTTTTTTTTTTTTTAAGAATCCATATGTCACCTTGTGTATCCTATCAAAGGAACAGATTCCAAAAAATAATTTTGAGAATAAAAATGATTGAACTTATGCTCTATGATTGTATCTTGGTGAACAAAATTCTCGAGGATGCTTAACTCATTGAGTATTGGTAATTATAAATTTGGAATCATTTTTTGAGGGGTAAAAAAAGATTTCAACTATTGAGCCTATTTTTCAAAATTTTCAATAGTTTTTTATTAGATAATAAAAAACTGAGAAAATAGACAATCACTAATACTGTCCTACTCCTTACCACTCTTAAATGTTTAACAACTAAGAAAGAAAAATTAAAAAAATAGATATTCTTTCTAAAATTAATGAATGGTTAATTTTTTGATAAGGACAAAATTTGGTCCTTACTAAAAAGAAACAAGTATTTTCCTTAAGAGTGAGTTTGTATATACTTTCTAATAAAAGCGTTCAAATAAATAATTTATCCTTCTTGATTTTAGATTATATAAATTTTATTCACTTACCCAAATTTTATAAAGTTTGTTTTCCAATCAAAGTTCAACGAAAATCTTGAGCTCAGAGTATGATGGCCACCATGCACCCTTAGGAAAATTCCTCCTTTATTTCTTCATTTGTTCCAAAGATTAAGGAGAAACAGCAAAATACAAGTAGAATAAAATTGCTCTCTTTTCAGATTTTATAGCACAAATTGTCTGTCTCTGATTAAGATTATTGGAACAAGAAACGCATTCCCAACTGTTATGCTTGGGACAACTGAAACAAAAAATAATTCAAAGGCAAATCTTCCTTCTTCATTCGGGAAACTGGGCAGAATTTGACCACCCAAAAATCTTAGAACTGTTTATGAATGGTGGGATAGGGTACCTCCTCCTCCCTTACTTGCTCAATCTAAAGCAGCTATGACTGCATCAACAACCTCCTGCGTCGTGCTCTGTCCTCCGAGGTCCTTGGTTCGGTACTTGCCTTCGAATATGACCTTCTTAACCGCTGTTTCTAATCGGTCGGCAAATGAAGGAAACTGGAGATGTCTCAGCATCATGGCTGATGATAAGAGCAGCGCCACGGGGTTCGCCTTCTTTTGTTCCACTAGCCTCTCATTGCCCACATTCCCTGCCGAAGCTCCTTGCTCGAAAACAGCATGATCAGCGCCAACATTACCTGAATAGAGAAACTACAGTTAGAAGATGGGAAGAACCAAGCTATATCTTATCTCCTAGTAAGATTAAGTTTAATTATCAGCACATGTGGTTCCATACTTCTATTGCTGAACTTTCGTTACTGCCCATATTGCCTTACAATATTGAATATTCCCAGTTAACCATCAAGGAGATGAAAATATTTTGTCTTCCATTTATCTAAAATTTGTTGACATACAAGATGAAAGGAAGTCCTGCTCAGAACTTCTCTACATGGGTACTTGATGGGCTATATGCAATTTTAGCCTCAATTAAGGTTCTAAGAAAACTTGAGAAATGCTAAACATAAGCTTTGAATCTGAAACATTTTGAGCATACCTCCCGGCATAACTCCAGTTCCACCTGCTATACCAGCTGCTGTATTTGCTACAAGATTTCCATAAAGATTGGGTGTCACCTGCAAAATGATATATCCAAGCATCATCAAAATTCAAATATCATCTCCTACTTTGCAATATGTAAAATTCAAAATGAAATTATTCTTCGGAAGAAAGATGATAAGCATCAATCAAGTGTAAAATGGATTCCACAGAACAGAGAGACAAGCAAAGGGGAAATGATCACAATCTCCTTCCCTCAAGCTTTCTACCCCTACCTCCTTCCTCTCCCAGTATGTTCACTTTTTTAAAATAGTAATCTTTCTCCTCTAACTAAGAGCACTCGAGTTTTCCATTTTATCCTTTCTCATATAACTGCATGTAATAGGGGACCTAACAGAAGAGCAAAGGCTTTCATGAAGGAAGATACAAAGACAATGGTTAAGCAAAGCGGGTTAAGAAGCCTCCAAAAAACCTATACAAAACCTTTGAAAATAAGCAACCCTGTTGCGAAGACTCATTATAAATCATCATCAAATGATGTTTATCTTTGGAATCCCTCTGACAGAGAACACTTCAAAATGTGAAAACTCCTTCAGCTTCATGTTCTTTTGGAAGTAGGCCCTTCAATTAGACATTTTTCCATTCATATATTGGCCATATGTTAATGCACATAAACACCACCACCACCACCACCACCACCACCACCACCCCAACCAAAGGGCCTTATGGCAAAAAGTTCATGGGACACGCAGTGAATAATAAGACTCCAAAAAAAAATAGCGGGGTCCTGTTGAAACTTGCAGAGGACATCTCTAACTTCCTAAAGGCTGTAGAAAACCCACAGCAATATAGAAGAGAACACAGATCATGATCTCAGAAGATGCCACACAAGATTAGTTTTGTGAACAACATTTTAAAGAGCTTAAATTCAACACTAATAGTAGTAACTCTCAAATCTGGATCCTAGAGAAAAATGAATATTTCCATGTATTTTGCTAAATTCGTCTAAAAATTGCACACCAAAAGTCTCATTCCATGTTATATTGGTAGTTCGGTTCTAAGGGTGCCTTAGGTTGGTGATATGAAAACAAACCGAGACTCAATGAAAAATAGATTTGTATTTCATGTTTTTAGTGTTTTCGAATGTGTTTGGTAGCATATTTGAAAATTAAATCCCAATTTAAAAATTAGTGTGCTTAGCTTAGTAATATATTTGTAAACTAATGATAATTACCAACTAAATATTTATTTCAATCTAAAATATTATTAATTAATTTATTAACATTTTGTATAATTATTATTTTACAATATTATATTATTTATAATATATTATGTTTTACACATTTTAATTTCAACAAAAATGAAAGGAGTGAAATAGTATATTTATCAAAGTTTTTATCTTTTTTCATATAATTCTGCATTTTAAAGTTTTAAATTTAAAATCTGAAAACACTAATAACATAAAATTATTGTTTTCAAAATTTCTACTATTTAGATCACAATTTGTCAAACTGAAAACAATGAACAAAATCCAAATTGCATACCAAAGAGGCCCT